ATAATCTAAATTCATTCTCTCTAGGCTGTAAATCAACACATGATTATATGCAGGGTCTGCTGGGCTTTTGGTAATTAAAAATCTACAAACGCCCTCTCCAGCTCAGTTCAGCCAGTGTACAGACTGGTGAGGGTTAGGAGAAAAATTGCATGGGGAAATCAGGGTATTTCTCTGGCTCTATTTTAAACAACATTTCTGGCAGGGGTGGCATCTCCTTCCTGGTTCCAACTAATGCTGGAAATCTCCCGATCCGAAGCCCCTACGACTGCTCCAGCTCTAGGATTCTGACAAAACCACCTACCTACCCCTTTGCCTTTGTAGTCCTAGGGATGATAGCAGCTTCCTGGCATCATTATCTCTTGGGGGCTTCATCATCCTGTTTAATCACTCAAATCTTCCAACCCACACTTTCATAACTGTACATTTTCTGTATCAAATTCCATATGTTGAACTACCTGGCATGGGTTCTGTTTTCCCAACTGAACCGTGGCTAATAAATACACCTATTATCTCTGGGTTACAAAGAACTCTTATCCATCAAACACTAATTCCCCAATAGAAAAGGGCAATCTATATTGTACTTCTATATTCTCCAGATAATTAGAAATACAAATGATGACACTAATGTGGCAATATGAGAAGATCAATCCCATACACCTGGAGGGAGGGAAAATTAATACAATCTTTCAGGAAAGCAACTTGATTACATATAGCAAAAGCATTAAAATATTCACGTACTTTAAATAAATTTCTTCCTGAAATTCTAGCCTAAGGCAAATCAAAGGTGACGATATAATTTTATATACAGGGATGGTTACCACACTGTTATTTAAAATAGTAAAAAATAAGAAAAAACCTGAATGTCCGATACTAGAGATATGGGTAAATATGGTATATACGATTTTCCCTTATAGAATTCCCCTATCCCCCAACTGTAAGTGAATATAGTTATACATCTCCACTATAGTTCACCTTCATTAAACCTGAAGTTCTTCAGAGGACAAGGATGTTTGCTTTAAACATTGACAATTACGTGCTAGACAAGTGTTTGTCTCAATAAATATTTCAGAAATAATTATGTAGTCTTAAAGATGAATTTGAAGAATTTTCACTGAAAAGGTAAAAAAAACTGCATGTAACACAGAAATGTACAGAAAGGCTAAGTGATGAGTTTGATTATAAGTAATTTTATCCACTTTTTGTACTTTTTAAATATTTTCCAAATATCTTTTGATGAGTATATATTACACTTAGAACCAGGAGAAAAATTATGTTTACAAAGTGAAAAAGAAAGCAGAGATGAAAGCAGTTGGTAAAGTTAAAATACAACAAGCTCTATATTATTCACCACTGCTTGAATAACTAAAACTAAAAATTAACCTCCTCTACCCCCAAAAAAGGAGTATCTGCTGTCAGGGAAATTTAATTCAAAACCACAATGAGATATTACTTCACACCCACTAGGACAGCTATAATCAAAAAGATAATAACAAGTGTTTGAGAGGATGTGGAGAAGTCAGAACTGTTATTTTATTTTTGAGATGGAGTCTCGCTCTGTTGCCCAGGCTGGAGTGCAGTGGCGCTATCTCTGCTCACTGCAAGCTCCGCCTCCCGGGTTCACGCCATTCTCCTGCAGAACTGTTATTTTTAACTGGTGGAAATGTTAAATGGTACAGCCACTCTGGGAAATAATCTGGTAGTTGCTTAACAGGTTAAACACAGAGTTACCATGTGACCTAGCAATTCCACTAACAGGTTTATACTTAAGAGAATTGAAAACATATATTCAAAAATTTTATGTAAATGGTCATAAAAGCATTATTCATAACAGCCAAAAGTAGGAAGACCTAAATGTCCACCAACTGATGAATCAATAAATGAAATATTATTCAGCCAGAAAAAGGAATAAACTACTGTCACATGCTACGATAAGGATGAACCTTGAAAAAATCATGCCAAGTGAAAGGAACCAGCCACAAGGACCACATGTATGATTCTATTCAACTGAAATGTCTAGAATAGGCAAATCCATAAAGAAAGAAAGTATAATAGAGTAGTGGTTGCCTAAGACTGGTAAGTTTGGGGGTAAAATGGGTGACTGCTAACTGGCACACTGGTTTCTTTTAGGGGTGATGAAAATGTTCTAAAATTGATTGTGGTGATAGACGCACAACTCAGAATATATTAAAAAACACTTAAGAGTATTCTATAAGTGGGTAAACTATATAGTATGAATTACCTCTCAATAAAGCTATTATAATAAAGAAATTTGTATATTATACATTAAGAAAAGGCTGTTAAGAGAAACAAAAAGAATTAAGTTCAAATGCATGTGTGCCAAATTTGCCATAAAAAAGACAAACCTGCAATACTGTACTAACGTCCTGCTAGGCTATAAAGGTTTTAAGGCATTGCGAGTCAAGTTATGAATCAAAAATAGTTCTTGTCATTTTTGAAAACATAACTTCCTTGTGTATCTATTTTTTCAAAATACAGATTTTGTTACTAAATGAAAATATTCATCTCATTTACTCATTAGGTATATATGTGTGTGTGTGTGTGTGTGTGTATATATATATATATTTTTTTTTTTTTTTTTTTTTTTTTTTTGAGACGGAGTCTTGCTCTGTCGCCCAGGCTGGAGTGCAGTGGCGCAATCTTGGCTCACTGCAAGCTCCACCTCCCGGGTTCATGCCATTCTCCTGCCTCAGCCTCCCGAGTAGCTGGGACTACAGGCACCCACCACCGCACCTGGCTAATTTTTTGTATTTTTAGTAGAGATGGGGCATTAGGTATATTTTTAATACCTTCTAAAGGTTGGGCATTTTCTAGGGATGAAGTAGGAGAGAAAAAAGAGACACTTTTCAAGGGCTTAGAATTTGGTTGTGAAGCTAATATATGCACACTAAATATTCCTAGGACAGTGTAAAGAAGCATTTACTATTCATTCATGTATACAGTAGTCATTCGCTCAGGTGGTGAATTATCTAGGGTCTACCATCCACAAGGCCCTTGGAATGCTTTGTTGAACAGAGCAGACACGGCTCCGGCTCTCAGTAACCACCTTAAATGCTGTGACAAAGTGGGGGAAATAACACCATATCTCAACTGACTCCCTTTGTCCGCCCTGGTCAGATTTCAGATCACTCTCTCATTACCTCCCAAGAATAAAAAGCAGCAGCTTTCTCCTGGCATAGGCTGCTCTCCTAGGTTTCAGGCACGCTTTCTCTAACTCAGTTGTCCTTTATCCATAGCACTCTGGCCCACATGTCTGAACCACATAATAAAGTATTAATATGCATGGACCTATTGGTTTAACAGAAGTGTTTTCTTCACATTTGAATAAGGGCTTTCTCTAGTAATCACATTTCTAAATGCTTATTGAGTGGTGTCACTTGCTGCCCTTTCATCATCTCAAATCCAACACATCTCACACTGTGGTCCAGAGCACTCCCACTAAAACTGGCTCTCCATTTTGACACTCCTAATTGTTTTAACTGTACCATCCTCCCAAACACAAAACCTCACAGTTATTGCGTACCCACCTCACCATCACACCAGCCTCTAAATCCCTATGAATCGCCTAGATGATCTCACACACCAAATTCTGCAATAAGCTTTCAATTGGTCTATCTTGTCACTAATTTTTCCTCCCACCAGTTCACAGCTCTGCTGTTTCTTCTGAGAAATGTTTAAATAATATGACATTTTGCCTCAAGGATTTTTAGTGTCTCCCCACAGAGAGAGTATCAAGTCCCTGGAACTTACAGATCTCTGTAATTTCAGCCAGTTCAGCCCTCTGCCTTTGCACATCTTACCACCTCCCAAACCAGTTTTACATGTTCCCTTCCCCTGACACTTGTGTTGTCTCTTCTCTTGCCCAGTGACAATGCCCTCTCCAGAGTGGTCCATCAAGCCCAAGGCTGCAAGACCATCTCCTCTGCCATCTCAGATGTGGCTTGTCCACTTACATCAATATTTCCCACATAATACTTACTTGGCAGTCAACCACATATTATTTCAAGGTGTGTCTTGCCTTGTATTAAACTGTTGTTTAGAAGTCTTACTGTTAGGTAGCTTTTCACATGTTTCTGCCTCATTAACAGTTTGAGTTAACACCTTTTTTGGGGGGGAAATAACTTCTTTGTATGACAGCCAAGTGTCTTGTATGCACTATAAGGAACACCAGAATCCTGGCACCAGGTTTAGATAAACTCAGATACTGGGCATTTGGTTATCTAAGTCTTCCTCAATTCAAGTCTTGTTTGAAAAGGGCCAAAGTATTTGCATATCAATGCCTATTCCAGCATTACAACATTGTTCACATTACTATTTACAACATAAGCTCCATGGGGGAAGGGGACAGGGACAAGTGTGTGTTATGCCCATCACTGCCCAGCAATGTGCACAGCATCCGGTACATGACGTGAATGCTCAATAAACATTTACTGAGTGAAGGCTGGGTATGAAGACATCAATGATTTGTGTAAGTGGCAGACAGTCTCCTTAATGTAATTCATCCTTTCTATGTGGTGAATTTAGGTTAAAAAGAAAAGATAGACTACATGAAAAGCTACCACACTATTAGAAACATGCGGATACATTAAAAAAATGAAAACTTCAAGCATCTTTTCTCTGAGTATGATAAACACAGTGAAAGACCCAACTTGTATAATTAGCAGCTTTCTCCATTATATAATAACTTTTTTTGAGGTCAGCCCTGTGTTTTCTTATGATGGAAAAGGAAATTTTCAGATATGGGGTTGATATTAAAAATACTGCTGTTCAATGCTTTTTCATTACAGTTGACATATACAAATTTACTCAATGATACTAAAAACTTAAGCATATTAAGAACTACTATTCCAAAGCAACATAGCTCAATATTGTCACTGTTAAAGGCTTTGCTTGGCTTATTTCACCAAGAAATAGTAAATTAAGAGAGTAGGCTATGTAATTTGTGTTTATCAAACATAACTCTTATATAATAAAAAACATACCTGCTGCTCTCCAAGGAAATGACTTCTCAGTTGAGCTAAAGAAAAAGAAGGAAAAAATGAAACATTTATTTATTTTGTCACAAAATTTAGCTTGGGACCTGTTTTGCATATTAACATTTAATTTCCACATTAAATTATACAAAAGCATAAAAACCTTAAATACAATTTAAACTTATCTAAGCTAATTTTTAGATAGTATTTAAAATGGGAACAAAAATTGTTTCTATTTGGAAATTAAGGCAAATTATAAAATGACATAAAATTCTACTTGAAGACAAAACAGCACAACTGTATGATATTCACAGTACTTACATGATGTACTACAGTTTTTTGTGATAATATGAAAACTACATATGTATCATATATATGAAAAGGAACCAAAAAGGCTGTTAAACAGTTTATTTTACTTATTTTCAAAAGTGGCAATTAGAACAGAGACAAAACATATAACAGAGACAAAATTTACCGAGGCCACTTTTGAATTGAATGTTGCCTTATGAAATTTAAAACACAGAACTTTATATCAAAAATATAAGGTCCTATAAGCCAGGATAAAGTGACAGCTATGTATTTTCCTTGGTTATTAGAGTGTGCATTTAAAAAATTTGTGCATAAAAACATATCACTGCCTCCCCGGTTGCCACCCCTCTTGCCCCAATCAATACAGGAAATCATGGTGTTATAGGGACAGTGCGGCAGAATGCAGGAACAAAATAATGGATTATTAAGCATTTATTAAATGCTAGATTAAGCATTTCACATATGATCTCCTTCATATTATTTATCACAATCTTGTGAACAGGTACATCCTCATTGTTATCTTACAGATAAAGAAACATATGCTGGTAATTCGAAGAGCTGGAACCACACCCAGGACAGTCAGATTCCAAACTCGCGCACCATATAACCGTGCTACCTGGCAGAACAGCTTGTGATCCCATTTTTGCATTAAACACATATAGACACATAGACAATATGACTAGAAGTCTAGAAAAGTAAAAACCAATGTGCTAGCAGTTATATCTATGAGTACAGCCATTATATATTTTTTTCTTTTTAATCATTTGTACTTTTTTTCCTTTTAAAAAACCAGAAAAAGGACATATATTCATGGTATTTTTTGAGTGCTTATTAAATTTATAGAAAAAAGAGTGTGACTCCGGGCTTAAGGAAACATTTTGCAAAACAAAGAACGTGGAGCAGGGGAAGAACAGCCCTTTTAGTGCTGTATTTCTAAGATTTTAAGTTCTTATTACCCCCTTGATACTTTCCCCAAGTCATTATGTGGTTATGAAACTTGCTGGTTGAAAACCCTAGATTCCATAGAAACTCCCTGAACTTCAATTTTGTGTGTGATTTGCCTTTTTTCCATCACAGGAGCAACAGTTCACATTCCAGGACCTTGAATGAGCTGCAAGCAGGGGGACATGTTCCCAGCAAGTGGAGTCAACCAGTTAATGCTAATCTCCTCCAGCGCTCTGTGATATTCCTTTATCTGAAATACCCTTAGCTGATTTCAAAGTAGACTGATAGGAAAAAGTGAAAACTTGGTCAAATATCAGGAATGAGACATTTGTCTTGCTCCTAAGGGTAGGCCATCACTGTCTTGAGACTCCAAAAGTGGTTTTGCACACTGAATTTCAATTTCTTCTCAATCTGTTTTTGTTATTTAATTGTATTATCTAAACTAGTTTTCTAAGCACTGAGATTGACATTACCCAACTGTGTTTCCTCAAAAGCATCATATTTTATGTCAACATTAAAACACATGGTAAATGAAACTGCCATCCAGAAATGTTTAGTATACCTCAAGTTTCTTGGGAATATTAAGGAAGTTTCATCTTCTGAGTTTGAAACTTATATAAACTTTAATGAAATATAAGACTTTTTATCCTCAAAATTGTAAGTCACAGAATATAATTTCAGATAATTGCTCAAATGGAGCAAGGGCTGTGGCTGTTTTGCTCATCTCTTTATACCAAGTGCCTAGCATTTGCCCAGCACACAGCAGATGCTTAATTAAATTGTGAAAAAATCAAGTTCTTTATTGTTTTGAAAGGTCAGGATTATATAAATTACCAGGTATTACCTAGTATAAGCAAGTCAACTTATTCTCCCTGAGTCTAGGTAGGAAGTTCCAGTAGCCTCGTTGTGTAGCAATCAAGCAGACAGCGTTTCTGCTGCTGAAAGAACCTTTGGTTACCAAAATATAATAGGTATTCCTAGGTGAAGGCAATGGGAAGCCTCGGTTAACATGAATATTCCCTTCTCTATTTAAGGTAGAATATATAAATCATTAGAAAAACAAGCTAATAAAGAAAACTAAAAATAATAAGTTCCATGGTGTATTTTGAAGATCATGTATTCAGCCCAACTAATTTCACACTAACTTCTATAATTCTGAGAAATAACTGGTCATTACATGTTATTCGTAACAGCCTATTTTCTTTCTGAATTACTTCAAATGATTCTCAAATTGTTCACTACTTTGGGACTCAGGGATTGGACAACAAAACACATGGAATTTTGAAAGGCTGTTTTAAACCACCAAATGCAATTGTTCTAATAAACCCATGTTTATTAGAACAATCACAGGCAGCTTCACGTTAGAAACATAGGCTTATTTCCTCCTTCTCTCCCTCCAACCATCTATTCCTAGAAACACTTCCCCAACTTTTACTGAATGCCTACAATGTGTCTGCAGGCACTGTGCCCACAAATGACTCCATCCCGGTTCCCTTTCACTTCTCTTCTGAAGATGCCAAGCAGCTTGCGTTCTAGGAGCTTCCACTGGAATGTGAAACACATTTTAAAATACATACAGGAACTGAGTCACCCATGATAACTTTGTTTCAATGGGAAGATATATTCATAATGTAATATGTTAATAACTTAATAATAATCATTTAGAATGAAATCCACTAATAACCTTGGGGCTGTCCGGTCAGATGGTGAACATCAATCAAAAGCAAATTTATTACCAAATTAACAATTCATTTTAATGCAAAAAATCAGTTTTGTTTATAGGAAGACAATGTGCCCTCATCATATTACATGAAAATATGTTGTAGATCACTATAAAATTCTACACACTCCTGAAATTAATTTTTTTCATTCAGATGCAAATGGAGGCAAAATATCTTTGTTGGACATTAATGGCTGTGCAATATCAACTTTGAAAACTCTCCTTATTTTGCTGTTTTCCATATTAGGACTCAGAAAATTACCTGCTCATAATCCCCTGCAGCCAGAGGCAGGCCAGTAAGTGAGAGTCCACAAGAAGCCACATGTGGAGATAGAGTGGTCCTGAGCATTTGTGGTGGATACAGTGGTGGCAGTAGGTACTGCTCCTGGAAACCCAGATTCAGATTCTGGCTCCCTGGCCTTCCTAGAGACTCCATGAGTTGACACCCAATAGCTCTTAAAAAGTTCCTTTTCTGCTTACATAAGCCAGAGAAGATTCTATTGTTTGCAACCAAAAATCCTGACTGATGTTATCCTAAAACTAACAAAGACAAACTAGCCCTCTGAAAAGGGCCCAAGACTCATAACTGCAGACTATTTCCAACTGCATACTGGATATATAACACAGATCAGATTCAACGTATTGAAATTATTTCCCTCTAAACTGACTCCTGCTTAGTGATTCCCACCTAGTCACTGAAACTGAAGAGCAGGGAGTAATTTTACTGTTTGTTCTTCCCACTAGTGTGTAAGCTCCATGAGGGTATGGGAGTTGGCCTTGTTTACAGACAATGGCCAGAGCCTAAGGCAGTATCTGACACATGGCCATTACTCATTTTGAATTAATCTCTACTACCACTGACATAGTTCTGGTCTTTATCCTCTTTTGGCTGGGTCCTTCAGTCTCTCTCCTGACTGGTCTTACTTCTCATCCTGGCAGGCTCTCTTCTACGCTGCTACTACTGTGATTTTTTTCAAACACTCACCTCTGATGTCATTCTTCTGCTGCTAATGCACAGCAGATCCATACAGGATAAAATGCAAACATCTCAGATGGCACAGAAGGCCCTGCACCACCTGGCTCCTTCTAGTGTGCCCTTTCCCACACAAACCTACATTCGAAGCACTTCTAACTGCTTGCAGTTGCCTCACACACCATACTGTTTCACACTTTCACTGCTATTTTTAGGGCAGAACATGCAGGAATACAGCCTGAAAATTCTTTCAGAATTACTCAAATTCTAGAATGGCACATGCAGGTGCCATATAACTTGTTTATATATCCATGAAACAGAATGCTCTAAAGTTTACCTTCACTTTGTATCACCTTCTATAATAACAGGAATATTAAAAAAAAATGTTTTACTTAATTCTTCTGTCTGATGTGAGCAAGCCTGCTTTAGTGGATACCAGTAGGTAAACGCTAGGAGAAGGGACAGTAGAGAACTGGATGGAGCCACATGGTAATTCTGCCATGCCACTTCCCTTACCTTCTTTCAGGTCTAGGTAGGGCTCATTTTATCACAAGTATACACAAGCTACTGTTACCAGTCTCTTAGCAAGACATATTGAATTAGGACAAGATCCAAGGGTTACTCCTTTCTGAAAAAGAACCAGTTCTTAGCCTGAAATTAGAATATGGTCAAATTGCAAAATTTACTGCTTTATTTTAAAAAAATCAGGCTGGGCACGGTAGCTCACACCTATAATCCCACCACTCTGGGAGGCTAAGGTGGGAGGACTGCTTACCCCAGATGTTTGAGACCAGCTGGGGCAACAAAGTGAGACCCTATCTCTACAAAAAAGTTTAAAAAAAAATAGCCGGGCATGGTGACATGTGCCTGTAGTCTCAGCTACTTGGGAGGCTGAGGTGGGAAGATTGCTTGAGCCTGACAGCAAGGCTCAAGGCAAGCAAGGCTGCAGTGAGCTGTGATTGTGCCACTGCACTCCAGCCTGGGCAACAGAGACCCTGTTTCAAAAAAAATAAATAAATAAACAAAAATAATTGTGTCAAGAGATTTTACACATACATGTATATTTATATATCAATATAAATCATTAATAGCTGAAA